GACGGGACCCGGCCATATTTTCAAATTTCAAGAGGCCGAAATCCTCGCAAGGGGTGACAACCGCGTGAGCCGCGAGCTGCTCGAGTCATGGTTCTCAGGCCCGCAATCCATTAACAAACACAATGACCTCCCGGTGCCCTATAGCGTATTGCGATTTTCCCTGGGCAGGAGAATCAGTCACGTGGGGAGGGCGCGGGTGAGCAATTATCACGGTGACAGTGAGCCAGTTTGTCGAGCAATCGTCACACCAGCATCGAGCACGGATGACGAAATCGCGGCAATTAACAACTCGGACTCGGACCGCCAAGCCACCGCCGCATCAATTACGACCCCAGCGGCGATTGTGAGAACTGTTAATTGCAGCGCGCATACGGTCCTACGGCAGCCACGTGCTATAAATACTGCACTCCTGGTGCCACATTCACCTCTATCTGCGAATGTCTCTGATGATGGATTCGAGTGAGAATCCGAAACGTCAGGCAAATAAACGTCTTGTCCCCGTGATCGCATCTTCATCTTCTGCACTCAAGCACAGTCGTGACGAGCCGTGGACCTCGGCAGCCGCTCTCAACGTCCGCATGCCGTGGAGGCATCGTCTACCTCCTAGTGGACGAAGGGCTAAAATGCACCTTAAGCAAATGCTCGGAGTCGTGTCATTTGCAAGCTGACTGTGGCTCCTGCAGGCTAAACACAAAATCAAAGCACTGTGGAGCACAGCAGACCAGGCACCCTACTCTCCCATCCCCTCTCGAGGAGGACCAACCAATCAGGGAGCATGACTGTTCCGGTCACATGAGAACTGACTCGTTCCAGTGCGGACATCGCCGTAGCCAGGGAGGCTACAGCTTCTGTTGCGGCTGCCACTAAAAATGCTTTCGTTGCAACGCTTGAGTCGCCCTCGAACACATGGGGGAGAACTTCGCCACGATTGTCAGCGCCTACGAAGGGAAATTTCAACGGAGATCTGAGCGTCACCCTCACGCGCATACTGAGGACCGACTTCACCGTCCGCGTAGGCACATACCATGCCACCTGAGAAGATGGTTGAATAGATGTCACGGTGTGAGTCATTTTAAGAGCGACAACCTTCTGTTGTTACTGATCTTCACAGGACAAAATCTCTTCGTGGTCTTTGAGTTTCCCAGTCACGCATGGAGGCATCATCGGTCTAATGAGTCTGAATAAGTTGGGTGGATTTAATAAAAAAATTACTCGCACACGCTGCCTTCCTGTAAATCGAAGTCGTCGCCTTCTTCGGCGCTAAAAACGCTGTTTTCTAAAATCTGCGCGACGATGCATGATGACTTGATGTAATTTTCGAGGAGGCATTTTCAAAAAATTCAATATTGCATTTAGGGATTGGTAAGGTGCGAAAGAAAACATAATCTTAGGCGTAGAAGTAACAAATTGGGCGCTTATTACTTCCCAGGTGTTTTTGCTCCTCCACAAAACAACACAATACCCCAAGAACAGCGGAAGTCGGTGAAACTTCTAGCTTCAGCATTCGTCTGGTATTTCCCTCTCCTCGAAATAAAAGCATATGAAGTCGTTATCGGGGCTCCAGAGAATTGGTAACGTGAATGCCTAATGGTGGACGAATATGAAAGTATCTGTGGTGAGCCAGTATAGTCAATTGAGCAGGGAAGCAATAGTCTCTACTGCAGTTTGGTTAGGCGAGCCTTTATGAAATTATATTTCTTGTATTTGAAAGAAACTATATTAAAAGGGTGGATGACTAAAAATGATGAGTGACGAAATGCGTGTCTGCTCGTCTACTATCTAGCGCTCTTCCAAGAGATGTGGCGTCAAGGTGAAGTCCCGCAAGATTTCAAAGACGCAACCATCGTGCATCTCTACAAGCGCAAAGGGAATCGCCAAGTCTGCGACAATCACCGCGGCATCTCCCTGCTGAACATCGCCGGGAAGATCTTCGCCCGCATCCTTCTCAACCGCCTCAATAACCATCTGGAACAGGGCCTTCTGCCGGAAAGCCAATGCGGCTTCCTTCGTCATCGTGGGATCACGGATATGATCTTCGCCGCCCGTCAACTTCAGGAGAAGTGTCAGGAGATGCGGACCCACCTGTACTCTACCTTCGTGGACTTGACGAAAGCCTTTGACACGGTGAATCGTGAAGGACTGTGGAAGATCATGCAGGAATTCGGCTGTCCGAAGCGATTCACTCAGATGGTGCGTCAGCTGCACGACGGTATGATGGCGCGAGTCACGGACAACGGAGCTGTCTCAGAGGCATTCGCAGTGACCAATGGAGTGAAGCAGGGCTGCGTACTGGCGCCTACCCTCTTCAGTCTTATGTTCTCTGCCATGCTGATGGACGCCTACCGCGACGAACGCCCCGGGATCCACATCGCCTACAGGACGGACGGTCACCTCCTGAATCAACGGCGGATGCACTTCGAATCGCACGTATCCACAACCACCGTTCACGAACTCCTCTTCGCCGAAGACTGCGCCCTGAACACCACCTCGGAAGAGGAGATGCAACGGAGCATGGACCTGTTCTCCGCCGCCTTCGAGAACTTCGGTCTGGTCATTAACACGCAGAAGACGGTGGTGATGCACTAACCGCCACCCAACTCAGTCCCAGCCCCCAACGCGCCGCCGCAAATCAGCTTGAACGGAACCCAACTGCAGGTGGTGGAGAACTTCCCGTACCTGGGCAGTACTCTCTCCCGCAACACCAAGATCGACGACGAAGTCGCCAACAGGATCTCGAAAGCAAGTCAAGCCTTCGGTCGCCTCCAAAGCACAGTTTGGAATCGCCACGGTCTTCAGCTGAGCACCAAGTTGAAGATGTACAAGGCCGTCATCCTGCCGACACTACTGTATGGAGCGGAGACTTGGATGGTGTACGCAAAGCAGGCACGTCGTCTGAACCACTTCCACCTCAGTTGTCTTCGTCGCATCCTGAGGCTAAAGTGGCAGGATCGAATCCCCGACACTGATGTGCTGGAACGGACGGGAATCCTCAGCATCTACGCCATACTGAGGCAAATTCAGCTGCGCTGGAGCGGCCACCTGGTGCGCATGGACGACGAGCGACTACCCAAACGACTCTTTTACGGAGACGTCGCGTCGGGTTCTCGTCGTCAAGGAGGCCAGATTCGCCGTTAAAAGGATACCCTGAAGTCCTCCCGGAAATGCCTGCAAATCAACCCCACCAACTGGGAGGAGCTCGCACTCGATCGACCGACCTGGAGGAGGACAGTGAAGACAGGCGCTGCAATATACGAAGCCAACCGCATCGCTGCCGCCAAAGCAAAACGTGAAGCCCGCAAATCACAACTTCGCCCAGTAAGCAACGCCGCCGCACAACCGCTTCCAACGTGTCCTCGATGTCAACGGACATTCCGGGCTCGAATCGGACTTGTTGGACATCTTCGGATTAACTG